GGCAATTTTCACACATCGCAAATTTCCTTCCGTAGAATTTTCTAGTTTTTTTTCTGATGATTCCTTTCGACGTTATTATCATATTGGAACAATAAAAAGAAGGGGTCACCGGACTTGTTTTCATGCAATAGCTTTCGTGAGTTTAGCAATTTCCACGCGCGTTCTCGCGCATTTAAAAATCTGGATTCTATAAGATCGACATTTGCTCATGATCTGTTTTAGCTACCGCTGACAATTGCGTGTGCTCGCGCGAGCACCTACGATCTGATGTTTACAGACGTTTACTGCTAAGAAAATCATTAAACAGCCGTCAAAGACAGCCTCCCGAGCTCATCTTAAAAATCCTACACATGACTTCTGGCTATATCATATTATTTTCCTTGAAGTTTCAAAGTCTTCTTCCACTTCAGGTAGATTATCCTTCACTTGAGTTCTTCTTTTTTCGCCGTCGCAAGATTTCATATCGGTTGAATATTTCTTTTAAATGTGAAGTGAAGCAACCTTTACTTCTCCGAAAATCGTCTTCGTTATCTTAGTTTCTATCTCCTGCATTCACAGTGGCCGCTCAACACATCAAATACAAGCTCTTAGGTAAACTTCTCACAAAAGTAGAAAAAATTCCACCCGCCGCCATCTTTGTTTTGAATTTTCATCTTTTGATCTCGCGCTTCTTTCGCACGTTTCTCTCGCGCGCGTCACGCAAGAGTGACCTGTTCCCCGCGCGAGGAAACTGGTACGAGCCACCTTAAACCAATTTATAATACAAGCCAAGCTGTTACTAGAGAAGCTGTGAGGTTGTCGACGATGCGATGGTTATGTGGAAGGATTGAACAAGTCGGAAAATTTTTAAACGTTCTTCATTCAACCATCACGAATATTTCAATAATTATAGTATAACAGGTTCACAGGAAAGCTAGTCAACTTATATTCACGGAAGAAAAACATGTTCAGTTAAACCTGGTTTAGCTAAAATTAAATCAGAAAAAGAGACCTGAAAAGCTGATGGCGTAATTAGAGGATTTATTAGTGATTCTAACACGAAATATAACTGTTGCCATTTGAATATGAAGGCGGAATAGAGAGGGAAGGCTATCAGTTACCTTAAGATCAAAACCCGCAACACCAAAGTGCACCACCCATGGCAAGAAATTTATTCCGTGGGTAGCCATTAGGTTTCAACTGAAAATTTTCTCATGATATAAATGTTCTATAAATGAAAATAAGTTGTTTTTATTTTTATTATCCGCGAATAATGTAGTGTTCTCTTGCGTGATATATTTTCGGTAACGTTTGTCTACCTTTTTTTCCTGAATAAAAAGGACAGAAGAAAATAAGTACTGAAGCAGATGTATTTTCTTGATTCTTTCCCAATTTACACACGCAACTAACAAAAGATAAATTGTAAAACACCCAAAAAAGAACGTAAAAAAATAATTGAACAAAACAAAACAAATGAAACATACCGCAAGACCAGAGAAAGCAGTCGAATTCCGAGAAAGATCAACTAGTTTATCGTAGCACAAGGTAAGTTTTCCTCACAAGAGAAAGCGTGAGGGCTTTCGGCAAAGCGATGGTTATGTAAAGTAAATTAACCAGCCGAGAACTTATAAAACCGTTCTCTATCTAATCATCACTGTTCAGGGAGAATTACTAAATTGACATACTCCAGGTGCACAGGAAAAGGTAATCAGCAGCGATATGGGAAAAAGAATAAACATTTTTGTAAAACCAACATTGTCTCCGAGGAAAAGCCTAAAGTCAAATGCGCTTGCTTAATTTAGTAGATAATGTGGATAAAAGGTTAAAACCTCCTTTTGAGGTTTTTCTTCAATTACCAGAATGCACGTTTAATATCAAATATCGTACTGTTAAGTAAATACTTGATCAAATGAGACCAACAAAAACTTTTACTTCACTTATTTATTCATATAATGGTTTGTTTTTAGTGAGTGGGAGAAGAGAGGGTGAGGGGAATGTTTAAACTGCTTCAGTACAGATGCAAAGTGCAGTTTTGTCCCTTTCAAAAACTTTCTCTTACATGTTATTGTTCAAACGGAAAGTCCGTATCGGGAAAAGCTGTGCCCGGGGGTCTTGGATACCGCGCGAGGCCGTAGCCGCGCGCTGTAATCAAGGCCGGTAAATAATAATTTTTATTTTTCCTAAGACTTAGCAAAATGCTTGCGAAAACAGCCCAAATGGTGTAGGGTTAAAATCACGAGTTTAATTACATAAAGATCATCTCCATAAACTGAACAATTTTTTTAGGGAAGGGATCATAAAGAAAACAGAGATTATTCAAATTAAAGAGAAAGTCTTCGCCGAAACATTTTTATTTGCGCAATGGTAAAGGTAACTTAAAAGGTTCCAAGCAAACTTTAAAAAATATTTAAATAAGTATCTGACACGACCTGACACCTGTTAATTGGAGAGAAAAGAAAAAGCGTATGACCACTTTTGAATAAAGAATTGTACACACACGCGTTAAACTGGACCATAGCGACTATTTTCTCTTAAAGAACACTTAGATATCTTACAGAAAATATTTTTATTCCCATCGACGATTATCTTCGAAGATTAACGTCTGTTCAGTTTTAAATTTAAAGGAAAATAAATTGTAAATTTGTAAATTGTAAATTTGTGTTTTTAAGGTGCGAGAGTCAGCTTGTTGGTTTTCTGCAGTGGTGAATGCAAATTTTGTCTTTTTCCACCGAAAACTGAAGTCGAATGAGACGTTTTTTCTAGCTGGACACAAAGGAATTAAATGCGACTTTCTCTCATCGAATTCCTTCGGTTTCTGTTGTGAAATGTGCGTTAGAAATGTCCAAATTCAAGGGACTTGCAAAGAATAAGTGAAAATGATTAACATAATTTTAAACTGCAAATACCTCTCATTCTAACTTTCTGAGTTACTTTTTGCAAAAGATTATAATATTACTAATAGGTTTTAGGCTGCGTTTCAATCTTTTTAAAAAACAGATTTAGTACTAAAAAAGTTTATTTCGAAATTAATTTTGGTGACTTGAAAGAGCGGGAGAGGGAGACTGAGAGAGAGAGTGGAGCGGGAGTGGGGGAGGGGGGGTAGAGATAGAGAGAGAGATAGAGAATAGAGAAATGTGTGTTATTGACCAAGCGTTAGGCAAGATGGTTGGATATTGGCAGTGTTCTTTTCTGCGTTTTTATGGACCAAGTCGAACTCGGGGATCATAATTCAATAATTATCGTATAACAGGTGCACAGGAAAGGTAGTTAACTGATATTCACGGCAGAAAAACATGTTCAATTAAACCTAGTTTAACT